CCCAGGCGCCCCGATTTGGTATTTTTTAAAAAGATTTTATTTATTTATTTGAGACAGAGAGAGAGAGAGAGAGCATGAGCCGATGAAGGGGCAGAGGGACAAGCAGACTTCCCGCTGAGCAGGGAGTCTGACGTGGGGCTCAATCCCAGGACTCGTGACCTGAGCCGAAGGCAGACGCCCCTGATTTGGCATTTGTATACATTGTGAAACGATCACCACAATGTCTATTTGACCTCCGTCAACTATACATAGTTACAGAACTTTTCTCTGATAAGAACTTTTAAGATTTACTCTCTCAGCAACTTTAAAAATAGGCAATATAGCATTATTAGCTATAGTCACCGTTCTGTACATGACATCCCCATGACTTACTTATGGAAGCTTGTATCTTTTGACCACTTTCACCCATTTTGCCCACTCTCCAAACCCTGCCTCTGGCAACCGTCGGTCTGTTCTCTGTATCCATGACTTTGGTTTTGTTTGTTTCAGATTCCATTTATAATTGGGATCATATGGTGTTTGTCTTTCTCTGACTTATTTCACTTAGCATAATGTCCTCAAGGTCCACCCGTTTGTTGCAAATGGCAAGATCTTATTCTTCTTCATGGCTGAATAATATCCACTGTGGCTATCTGCCTACCTACCTACTTATAAAAAAATGTGATATACATATCATATCATACATTAATGATATAGATCCATATGTATCTATTCATCCACTGATGCACACCCTATCTTGGCTATTGTAAATAATGCTGCAATAAACATGAGAGTGCATCTATTTTTTCAAATGAGTGTTTTCGTTGTCCTTGGATAAATATCCAGAAGTAGAATTGTAGCATCATATAGTAGTTCTAATTTTAATTTTTTGAGGAACCTCCGCACTGTTTTCCAGAGTGGCTACAGCGATTTACCTTCCCGCCAACAGTGCACGAGGGTTCCCTTTTCCCCATATCCTCACCAACACTTGTTATTTCTTGTCTTTCTGATAATAGCCATTCTCACATGTACTTATGTGGTCTTCATTTGCATTTCCCTGATGATCAGTGATGTTGAGCATCTTTTCATGTTCCTGTTGGACATTTTTATTTTTATTTCTTCTTTGGAAAAATGTCTATACAGATCCTCTGCCCATTGTTTTTTTTTTTTTTTCTCTTTAGTTGTAGGAGTTCTTTATATATTTTGGATATTACCCCTTTATCAGATATATGATTTGCAGATATTTTCTCCCACTCAGTAGGTTGCCTTAAAGTAATATTAATAAAAAAGGAGTGGGGAGCAAACCCAGATGGAGCATGCAGGGAGCATAAGGATGCTGTTCTTCTCACATGTGCTCTGCAGTGCTTTTGTAAGCAACCCCAGACTGCTCCACTAGACCCTAAAGTCTTGGAGGGCAGGGCTGGTGGCTCTGTCCCTATGTGTTCACCCCACTGCCCAGAGATTGTAGTGCTAAGAGCACCTCGATGACTGGGAAGCAGTGGCCTTAGACAGACCACGGACTTTGACATGGGACCGGTTCTTGAGTCCTGCCTCTGGAACTCACCAGCTGCGTCCCTCCACAATCTGTGCTTTTGCTTCTTCATCTGCAAAACGGCTGCAGCTGCTTGCCTCATTGGAAACAATTTGCATCAGGAAAGGAGACTCGGTGTTTTTTTTTGTTTTTTTTTTAAGTAAGTGTTGTGTTATTCGGACAAAATGTGAGTTCATACGATGCTGTTGCCCTTAGACACCCAGTCCCCTTTCCCCTTGACCATGAGATGTTCTTGCCCGACAGTCCAGGAGGACTATTTAGAATTGTCTCCTTCTGCCAATATTAAAAAGATACATACCGCAAGTATCTGGGTTCAGGAACAACTAGTTGAGAGCATGTAGTGGCCGAGTTACCTGCACCAGCTCTCGGGCTTTCCAGTGTGTGCACGTGTGTGTAGGGAGTAGACTACTTGGTAAGCTTGCAGCTTACGAGGAGGCTAAATCATCTAGATGGAAAACCTGGTTCTGTTACTAACTGGGCAGATTCTTGAACTTTTGCTGGCCTCGGTTTCCTCAGTTGTAAAATGAGGACAGTGCTCATCACATGGGATTGCTCTGAGGATGAATAAGACAGTCCGTGCAAAATACCTAGAGTAGAAGCCAGTGGAGAATAAGTCCTATTATTATTCGAGGAATTTTAAGTCCACTTACATTTCCCATTGGTGATGTGTTGTAAAGTCTTTAATCTTGGTTGTAAAATCTTTCATCTTTTTAGGAGCACTGCTGTAGGTCTCCTGGTTGCTCTGCTGAGCAGGAGCCCGGTGGTTCCTATTATAACCATATGCTGTCTTTTCAATGCACCATGTCTTAGGTCCACACATACTTTCTGTAATCCAGCCACTTCAGAAGAGCCAGAGAGAAGACTTCATTCCCCATTAAAAACACCTATCTAGTGTTTACCATGTGCCAGACAGTTCTGGGTACTGGGATGTTGTGGAGAATGATGATACGTCCCCTGTAAGGGTACTGCACCCCAAAGTACAAAACTGGCCAGGACCTATACTAGATGTACCTGTGTAGAGTGGCATTTCATTCATGTTATAGATTTAGATATAGAGTGCATCTTATACTTCCATCCCAATATAGAAGCTACCCATGAGGTGTGATGAAAGTGTCTGAATTTCCTTCCCTCATCCTTTAGGATTATATTTGTAAAAAATATATTTTACATTTTCAACAAGGCAAAAGAGTAATATTTAGCATATCAGACAGATAATAAACACTCATGAAACTACACTGTGTCCTTGACAGATAGCATCTTTTTTCGATTAAGTTAGTAAAATATATATACATAATAATTTATCCTGAGAAGTGGCACAGGCTAAAAAATATAAACACATTCAAGAAAAATACGGAGGAAAAATACACAGTGGTTGATTATGGGGTAATTTAGGAGAGCAGAGGATATACCCAGTGTGGCAGGCTAAATAATGCCCCCAAAGATTTGTTCACATCCTAATTCCCATATGGAAAGAAGTCTTTGCAGAGGTGATTATGTGAAGGATTTTGAGAGGGGGATTATCCCAGATTATCTGGGTGGATCCTAAATGCAATCACATATATCCTCATAAGAGGGACACAGATGGAAATTTGAGCACACCCAGAGGAGAAGGTGATGTGGAGATGAAGCAGAGAGATTTAAAGTTGCTGGCTTCAAAGACTGGAGTGATGTGGCCACAAGCCTACAAATGCTGGCAGCCACCCAAGACTGGAAGGGGCAAGGAAAGAATCTCCCCTAGAGCCGCCAGAGGGAATGTGGCCCTGCTGACACCTTGATTTTGGTCCGGTGATACTGGTGTTGGACTCCTGGCCTCTAGAACTGTGAGAGAATCCATTTCTGGTGTTTAGAGCTACACAGCTTATGGTAACTTGTTACAAGAGCCACAGGAAACTAATACACCCAGTCATTTTAGATTAATGACCGAAGGACACTACTAATTACTCTGTCAACCACGTCTTGGCATGATGTTGTCTAATATATGTCTACTATATGTCACTGTGTTGCTTCTAACCTGATGTTCCTTTATTTTCCTATGCATTCTATTGAATGCCAGATGGCATAGGGATTTTTTTTTTAATTTTTGATTTGTATGTCAGTGTTTTAATTGTGGATGGAATGGTGGCATCTCTCATCTTTTTTTTTTTTTTTTGCAGATACTCCTGATAATTTTAATGCATGGATCGTGTTGCAAGGCATTGATTTAGGTAAGAGATGGAAAGTCTGATGTCTGCTTTGATCCACAGCAGAGTCCACTATTTTAGTAACATGCATACGTGTATCCTCCAGATCTAGGGTCTCTTTCCCTTGAATGATAGCAGAAAAAAGCAAATGCTTGAGGTTTGATTTTTTTTTCCCTTAGGCTCTGTGCTGACCCTGTCACTTTTTAAGGTCTTGATGAAATTTACTCTGATGAAGGTATCTTGATTTTTTAAACTATACCTGACTAGCTCATTGGCTCCATCATCCCTTTGCAATATTAACATGGTATATGTTACATACCTCATGTTTTCTTAAGATTGAACCCCAGTTACATAAACGGACTTGCACACCTGCCTCTAATTTAATGTCTATTCTTTAGGGTGGGTCCTTTCCACGGAGGCCTAATGTTACCCACTACATTCTGATTCTTCCCGATTTCATTCTCGGGGCTTAAGTTTTTCTTGAAGTGCTCATGGCTTTCGATACCACCCATATGCGAGAACCCCCGACTCTCTCTCCCTGACTCCAGGTTCCTTTCCAACAGCCTGCAAGACATCTCCAGTTCAACGCTCAATCCTCGACAGCATTTATTCCTAGCCACCCACGCCATCTATTTGCTCCCTCGTTTGTGAATGGTTAGGTTCCACCAAGGACAAGGCCAAGGTCAGGTTCTGGGCCTTACGTAGCTGCGGCACCTAGAACAGTGCTAGGCACATGGTGAGCGGGCAGTATATACTTGTTCGCAATGAATAAGCAAGTAATTCCAGGTGTATCTGCCCTCTTGGCGCTTGAGCTTTTTGGGTGACTGGTCCCTATGAGATGAGCCAAGACTGGGATCTATGTTTATTTGACAGGAACTCAGAGATGAGCCCATTTTTCTTCTCCCTCTAAAGGCTGCGGATTCCTGTAGCAACTTTCAGTCGCGCAAAATGCCAACCCCTTGGTGCGGTCAGACTGGTCGTGGCGAGGCGCGGGCGCTGGCCGCCGGGGTCCGCGGCGTCCCCCGCCAGGGCGGCCGGGTCAGCGCGAGTCCGAAGGGCGGCAGGGCGGCCCGGGGTCTTCGGGGCGTGGGCGACCCGGGGGTGGGGGCCGGCGCGGCCCGGGGTCGCGGCCCTCGGCGACGGCGCGGGCGGTGCGGACTCCCGGGGCCGCGGCCGCCGCCGCCCGACGTCACTTCCGACCGGAGCCAAGATGGCGTCGGCGCGGCCGCGGACGCCGGGGCGGGCGGAGCAGCGGCAGCGGCGGCGCGGGCGGCGGCTCTCGGCGCTCTGAGGCGCGGGGCGCGGCGGGCGCAGGTAAGGGGCGGCCGGGACGGGCGGCTTCCGGGACGGCGGCGGGCTTGGAGCCGGGACGCCCGTCCCTGCCCGCGAAGAGCGAGGAGGCGGCGGCGGCGGGGGCGACCCGTGGGGACCGGGCGCGCAGGGCCAGGCGGGCCGGCGGACGCGCCCCCTCCGAGGACCCGGCGTCCCGGGCTGGCGGGGGTCCCGGAGCCAGGCGCGGGCCGCCGGGGCTCCCCGCTCTTCCCTGCCGCGCCCGAGCCCCCGGGCCGACCTTGGGGCCCGCCGCGGCGAAGTTGTGCCGTTCGCTTTGTGGCCGTTGGATCGCCGCGCGCCCCGCCAGGGGGAACGCGTGTGCGCGGCGGGGCCGGGCGGCGGCTGCAAGTCCCCCCGGGACCCCCGTCCCCGGACGGCGAGGGCGCACGCGAGGTCCCAGGGCCGCGCCAGTTTCCAGTCGTTTTGCTTCTCTTTTGTGTTCAACGCGAGTGTGTCTTTCACACTTGCATTCTTAATTTGTTTTGTGTCTTGCGTCTTTGTGTTTCCTAAATAGTTTTTGTGTGATTTAAACCTGGAAATTGTCTCCCTCGGTATGCCTATCGCAGACCCACCGGTGTTTTTGCTTTTGTTTTTAACAGACGTGCACTTATGTTAATTTTGCTACTAAAGATTATCTACGAACCTGTTTTTGATGGTGGCAAGTGAGACACGAAGTATCCCTTACAGGTCAAGGATATGCCCAAACCTCGGTGCTTCCTTCCGACCCACGCGTGAACCGCGGGACCACGACTGGCCCACCTCTGTCGGGCTGTGAGCTTCGGGAACAGCCCCACGATGTAACCGGGAAGCCCACATTCCTTTCACTGCGCAGCTGTAATTTCCCCTGAGAAAGGGGGTTCTGCTGGCCCCTCATTTTCCATTCAGTGTTGTATTGGGGTTTTGGTTTTATTTCATAAGTGGAACGCCTTTTGGGTGAATTCCAGTAGGTCTTTGGGCCCCTTTAATCGGACACTGAAATGGTCGTACCCAGAACACGACTAAAATATTTCATAAAGTTTTTGTTTATTGCAGGTTTATTAACGTTGAACAAGAAGCACAACCTTTCAGTGAATCTTTTACCTCCCATACCAGACTTCCTATCCAGTCAGTTATGGCCAAGTATTGGGAAAATGTGGGCCTTCAACATTTTTTTTTTTTAACATGTTATGAAATTTGTTGTACAAATATTGAGGAGGAACTGAGACACATAATCATGTTCTTTTTCAGAGGGTTTTGTTTTTGAGATGGCTTGCAGCTGCCCCATCATTCTCTAGAAGCTTCCTTACAAACACTTATTCAACCATATTCGTCATGTGTGGAATCTCATTGTAGCCTGGAGAGGACCTTTAAAGATCATTTTATTAAACCCCCTCGTTTCAGTCTGTAGGAACTGAGATTGAAATTCATAGTGAGACTAAGATGGTTCACAGCTTCTGTTATTCCAGGGCTCTTTTTTCGTGTCTTTTTTGGTTTGATTTAAATAAGTTAATACATTCGAAGTGTTTAGAAAAATACCAGGCACATAATAATAACACTCAATGAAAGCTTGCTTTGGTTGATTCTGAAGGTGGTTTCTTTAATTGAAAAGTTGGCATATTCGGATTTGTTTTTTCTCATTTTGTGGACAGTTCCTGAAACCATACGGTTTAAATTTTATTTGTAATTATTCGTTTTGTGAGTACAAAACATAACAAATGATTCTCACTGTAGGTAGGACATTATGAACAGAGAGAAAAGCACAGAGAAGGAAGAGAAATCAGCCCTCATCTTCCCACTCAGATAACCACTGTTAACATTTTGACATACCTCCTTCACCTTCCTGTCTCTTGTTGTGCATGTGTGTATTTCTTGTATATATTTATTTTTATTCACTTCTATGTATTTACATTTTATATAGGATTGATATCATTGTGTATATTATTCATAACCTGTCTTCTTACTATATTGGGAGCATATATTCATGCCATTAAGTATTCAATATGATTTTTAGTGGCTGTGTAATACATGGGTGGGCCATTATTTATCAATTCCATATTGATCAGTAAGTTTTCTGTAGACTGAGAGTCTCTTTTCATTAAGAACTGTTTAGGTTTTTCTATTGTGAATTCTGAAGTTTTGTGATTTTTAAAAAAAAAAACGTGAAAATGTAAATTCTGTCTTTTAGCCTCTAAATATGTATTTTTCCTGCCAATGCAGTTATAAGAAGCAGCAATTTCAGCTTCCTTTTATTCTCTTCTCCCTGAGCCGGGTCTGTGCGGTTCCATATATATATATATATCTGCACACATACTCTTTTGATGATTATTTTACGTTAGATGTTTATTTATTCATGGGACTGTTTCTTTACGCTGCTGATCTCTTTTCAAGTTCCAGATCTGATTTACAAACCTTTTAAGTCCTGTTAAATCATAGACTTTCCGGGATGGAAAGCACCTTAGGTTATTTACTATTTTCATTTCTTCCAACTTGCTTTTCATGCTATTTTTAATACCCAGGCAGAGGAAAAAAAAAGCCTATGGGCTGCACGAGAAAACTCCGCAGTGGGAGTGAAAAGGGAGTAGGTGGACAGTGGGGGAAAATTGTCAAACTTGTGTGGCGATGTGTAGATAATAGGGAGTTTCCCGATGATGGGGACATTACCTGACAGTCATTACTACTGATACTCCTGACTTGTGGCCAGCACTCTGTGGTTTGCATGGTGCCCATCGGTTACGCTGTCATTCTTCCTAGCACTTGGTTTAGAGGTTTGGCGCTCTCCTTTTGAAGTTAGAAGTTTATAATTAGAGCCACTGAAATCATCTTCCCGGAGCAACTGAAAGCTATTGACTCCGTTACTGAAAGCATTACTTAGGTTCCATTAAAGCAGGATTTCTTAACCTTGGCACGATTGACATTTGGGGCTGGATAATTCTTTCTTTGGGGGGCTGTTCTGTACACTGCAGGATATTTGGCAGCATCCCTGATCTCTACCTGTGAGATGCCAGTAACACTCCCCCACCATCCGCACAACTGATAAGGTCTCCAGACATTGCCACATGTCCCTTGGTGGGGACCCGGTTCTCAACCACTGCATTCAAGGAAAGCCCATCTGACCGGGTGGTGCAGTCAGTGGAATATGGCATCTCTATAGTCAAAGAACTGAGAGAAGAGCCTCTCTGGTTTACATGAAGTCCACCTTGAAGCAGGGGAATGGATTTAACTGGCCTGTGGCAGTCCCTTCCTGTGGGTGTCTTTATGATCTTGTTGAATGGTTTACTTTCAGCAGTTCTATGGCAAGAGATAAAGCAATTTGAGATAACCTGGAGACTACGAAGAAGGAGTTTTCATGGCATAGGATCAACATTCCCTGTATTTGGTTAAATTATTATGGATTTAAATAAGTTATGTGTATAGAGTTGATGCATGGTGAATCATGTAAGCTTGTGGTCTCTTATACTTGAATGGCACAGAAACAACGATTCTAGAAAATGAGACTCAGTGAAGCAACCCCTTGAAGATTGATGGTAGAGGCCAGACTAGTTTTTCTAAGATCTTTCTTTTCTTTTCTTTTCTTTTCTCTTTTCTTTCTTTTCTTCCCTCCCTCCCTCCCTCCCTCCCTTCCTTCCTTTTTTTCTTTCTACAACCAATTCCGGGTTATGCACTGAAAGTGATGAATTTGTCCTGAGGAAATAGTTTACTTTTGAGGTGCTTATCTACTTTAGCTTATTACTTTATAACTTAAAGATCACTATTGATCTTATGGCATACATGCATTATTAACGCAGTTTCCCCTGGGCGAAGAAAGTGTAGGTTGTCACCTCTTTCTCTGTAGTCTTTAAAAGTATGGATAGTGTAGATTGAATTTTTATTGTGGCATACGTGATCTTTAGTTAGAATTTAGTGATAAGGAGAACATAAGAAAAGAGATGTGCTCTTGGACCACATTTGGTAGTGGGGTGGCTTTCTCAATTACAGAATACTTGCATAATTTAACTGGAATGAATGCGTGTGCCATTTAAATACTCTTTCTTAAAGGGAATGCCTTTCATTCCCCACCCCCACTCCCCTGAAGCGTGAGTTATTGTATGTAGTAAATCTGGTTCATTTGGAGTGAAATATGCTTATAATATTTTTCTCAGTACTGGATAGTATTTATTCTTAAGAGTCTTGGTTCAAGTCATACCTGTGCTGTGTTTCATTTATTAGTCTTTGGGAACATGCAATAAAGGAGGTTTCACTGAATTACTTATATATTTGCCAGCCATTTTGGTGAAAAGAATATTTTGTAGCTCTTGCAATAAATCATCTGATAGGCTTTGCTTTGAAAGAGCTAAATTACTTCTTGGCACAGCTTGCCTGAAATATGTAAAGCTACGTGCAACTGTTAGTTTGATTACTGTGGGCAGCCTGTCTGGGAATTGGTAAAACCTACAGCTTTTACATGTGCATATAAGACTACATTAAATTCTGGTGGGAAAACTCGATGGCATTTTCAGGTAATTTAAATGATGCTGTTAAAATTGAAAAGAAATCTGAGATTCACTGAACCCTTACATACTTCCAGTATGAATCCTGCGCATTACCCAAGGGGTTATTAAGACAGTATAATTTAAGCATAATTTGGAGTAACAGTATAAATATGACATTCTAAACATTTCTCACTCTGTGAGGCTTCTTTTAGGGACTTTGCTGTAATTCCGAAAGACCTTAGTTGTAAAGTACATCTGAAAATGGAAGTTTTAAGAAGGGGGTCTTTGGGATAAATTTATATTTTTAATTGTGAAGCTCTGTTACCATTTGGTAGAGGACGTTGAGCGAGTCAGTTTACCTGTTTGGGGAGGTAAGTGTTGTGTCAGTGCAATCCCCTAGTAATTTAATTGAGCCCTGCCTCAGTGTGCAGAATGGTGCATGTGCCAGACCACCACAGGGGCCGAGTTTTCTGGCAGTGGTGGGGCAGTTATCCTCTCCACTTGCTATTTGTAAAGTGGGGAACAGTGATTACT